CAGCTGGTATAGAATATAACAATGGATGGATACTCCAGCTAGCATAGAATATAACAATGGACAGGTACTCCAGCTGGTATAGAATATAACAATGGACAGGTACTCCAGCTAGTATAGAATATAACAATGGATGGGTACTCCAGCTGGTATAGAATATAACAATGGATGGATACCCCATACAGGTATACTTACACACTCATACCTACTTATATTCACATAATATTGATTTCTTTGTTGTGCTGCTACAAAATGAAACTGCATGTAAGTGAATGGTATTGTTTCACCTGGTTCAGGCCTTTAAGCATAACCGGTACTTCATAAGAGTTTAAGAAGGAGTAAAATATTTCATGTTTCTGAGGTCATGTGAAGTCAAAGCAGTATAAAAATGATTATGTAGTGCTTGATGAGTAATTATTTTGTTTGTAATCTACCATATAAAAAAAAAGTGTCAATAAATACATTGGGATTTGTTTTATAATTATCTAATTTGTAATAATAACATCTATTGCTACCTTGAAAGAAAGCTTGAATTCATAGTACAGCTTCTGTATGGAGTAACAAGGAATATTTTATAAATCATGTGGTGAAAATTCATTCTTCTGGTACAAGGACAGCTTTAAAAATATTAATTCATTGTCATCATCTTAGAAAGTAGTTGTAATAAAAAGGTGCTGAACAAGTGTTTTCTTTATGTCAGGATTGACTCTTAATACTAACATGGAAATATGATGATGCAATTTTTTTGTGGCAGTGATTGATGTCTGTTTTGATATATTAGCAAGAAATTTTAATCATTCAGCAAAATTTAATTCTTTGATATTGGATTGAAAACCAGAATTGTGTGAAATGCAGCTTTTGACCCATTCAGAAAGTGACACCAATATAAAGCCTATAAAAGTACAGAGTCATACCATATGTAGCAGTAGTAGTGTACATATAGTCATGGTTCCCAGGACATAAATACCACATGAAATGTGTGTAGAGTTTTAACTAGTGAAGAATACCTCGTGCAAAATATTGTGACAAAACTCTACGTTTCAGTAGGAGCTATGAATCTGGCACTGTTAATAATAGTAGTGGTCAAAATAACCAACTTAAACAGTCCAAAAGTGATGTTAAGTATCTTGGGTCATGTTCTTTATGAGACAGGATCTTTCCAGTGACCTTACTATAAATACAAGTGTGAACGTTACCTCAAGAAAAGTATGATGCACATTAATGTGATGTGGTCTCAGTGGAGGATGTGTAGGTGCTAGAAAACCATTGATGAGAAGAGGTAACCAAACCAAAAAATTGAAATTGACATCAGACTAGAAAGAGTGAAATGACAAAAGCTGGATATGTATGCTTTTTTCAGATTAATTCAAGTTTGGAAAAATCAACAGTTTCATTCCAGAGAGAAAATGATATCATAGTCAATGTACAGCATCAACAGTGAAGTATGGTAGAGGATCAATACAAGTTTGGGGCAGAATCTCAGCTAACAGTGTCAGTGATTTACACAAAATTGATGGCACTGTGACTTCTGACTAGTATGAGCAGATTTTGATCTATCATGTAATTTTCTGTTTATCTTCCAGCAAAATAGTGATTCCAAGCATACAACAAATGTGGTAAAAAAATATCTTGATGATAAAGAGTCCAATGGAACATACGTAGCCATAACATTCTTGAGGTTATATAGGCTTATGTAAAAATATAAAAAAATAAAAAATGAGAAGATAAAAAGATGACCAAACAATTTGACTGAATTGCGGAGAATTATACAGGACATTTTAAACTATATAACAATTTTATGTTAGTGAGGTGTATAGTAGCATGACAGTAATGTGTAATACTTTAACGCACAGGACTCAAACAAAAATTACTAGTGTATTATACAACTTTTCAGTAATAATGTTTGTACAATTAATAAACTTATAATCTAGTTTCCATTACTCGTTTCTAAATTCTGTGTGTATATCACTTGTGTATTTCCATAGTGTGTGTGTAAGAAAATGCATAATTAAAACAAAATCAATATTTAAAAAATGTTTGCTTATTATTGAAATTATTTATGTATATCATAATGTATTTTAATTGTAAATTAAGCAATATATTTGCAGAGTGTATACAGCTTTTACTATCCCATGGTGCCTCAGTCAAAATGAAGAATGCTTTGGGATGGAGTCCATTAGCAGAAGCTATTAGTTTTGGAAACAGACAAACTAGTAAGTCTGTTATGCTTTTCTCTATCTGGAGATATGAATGTATAGATAAAATTGTCCGGAGAGCTTTCTCTCCAATAATTTTAATTAAATTTTATTTCTAATTCACCTTCCCCGTAATGTTCTACGTATGCATTTGCCTAATATTCAAAACATTAAACATTTAACTAGTTTCTTGTAGTCCTTTGGTATCTTGTTCTTGATCACCTCGGAATCCTGTTTACATCTCTGCATATCTTTAAATCATTTAATTGAAAGCTGATTCTATTGAAAATATTATTAAGCAAGACTTATTAAGATCAGTGGCCTAACATACACAATGAAAGGTGAGATACCATGTAACTCATTGCAGTGTAGTAAACATCACTTTTGTTATGTATTGATTAATATTGGTGATAAATGTTGAGCCAGAGAAGGGTATGGCAAATTTAGCTCAACATTTGTTTGGAATATATGCTAGAAATATTAAAAACAACAGTTAAATAATGACTATTAATCCAACTCCAGTTGTACAAAACTTTTACTTCGTGTATAACCCTCTCTAGGAACCTCAACTGATGATTTTGTAGTGAAACCAGTGTTTAACCAATTGTTATTATTTTTCAGATGTTTTAATATCATAGCAACATTATGTGGTTATTCCTTTGATCATATCATTTACTTTCATACAAATATATATATATATATATATATATATTTTTTTTTAATATTTCTAAAGTCGGTTCTTCAAGTCCATAATGCTCATGTGGCTGTAGCATTGAATTGTCCTTTATTAATGTACCTGTAAACACAGAGTTGAAACAATCTGTATGAGTATGTAATATTTTATTACACTGATTGCTTAATACTAGTTCAGAATAGCACATTCACACACGTGTAGCATGTGGATATTAAGTGTAGATGTTGCAAAAAGAGGAAAGTTTCCTGTGGTTTGATTGGGTAATGCATTGCATTTTTTGAGTAGATTTTATTATTCTTAAACCTACTTATATGTTAGCCAAACAACTTGTAGATCAAATGACTGTATTTCAGATTTTTGAGAGTTAATTTTAAGATACATCTGGGTGTTTTTTTTGTAGAAGTTTAATGAAAAAAAATAGTTTGTTAGAAAAAAGGTTTTGTTAGAGCATCTTGTTATCAAAGAAAGCTATAATTTAAGCATATATACCACTGCAAACTGTGTATAGATTTATAGAACATAATATTAAATTTGGAAAAGTCCTACAGATGTTGAATAAGTATTTACACCTGTAGAGAAATACAAATTGATATTCAGATGTTGTTATTTAATATCAAACATTGAAAGTAATGCTGATTTGTAAGGCATACAGTGTTTAACTTGTTTCATCATAAATTTATTAAATTTTCTGTTTATTTTGCACCCACAGATTAGTTATTCGGAAACATGGGTATCAAGTTAAATATTCAAGATTATTTGAAAAATCTAAATTAAAGCAAGTTTAAAAAAGAAACTTATCATAAAGAACTCTCGCATACACTCATTCCTAAGGGATGACTTATTTTTGATAAACTACTTAAACATGTGTTTTTTTCTTTTTAAATTTCTGTGTCGTCTTTTCTCGGGAAGTAAAAATTGAACTGTTGATAAAATAATAACCTTTAAAACTGATTACACTGGCTAGTTTGATGGTTTAAATAGCATATATATATATCCAAAAGAGTTGTTACACAGGTTTAAAGAAAAAGAGAAACTATTGCACAGAAAACAGTAATATTTTACCAAATGTAGAATGATTATATAACAAACTGTGAATTAGCAAAACTGATGTAATTTAAAAGGTGTGTAAAAATTAACACTATTATTTTTTCAAACAGTTGCTTCGCTTCTAAGGAAGCTTAAACAACAATCTAGAGAAGCTATGGAAACTAGAAGACCCGATTTGGTACGAGCATTGAATCAGATGGGAGATTTTTATATGGAATTAAAATGGGACTTTCAGAGTTGGGGTAAGAAGGTTTATTAAAAGAATAACTAGTTTGTAAAATATATAACTCGGCTGGTTTATAATATACAAATTAATCAACTTTTATAAGAGAACTTGGCTGGTTCATAACATACAACTTGTTGACTTTTATAAAAAAAAAACTTGGGTAGAGTATAAGATCTTGCTTCCTGTTAAGCACAAAGCTACATCTTGGGCTGTCTGTGCTATGACAATCATGGATTTCAAAACCTGGTTTTTAGAGTTATAAGCCTTCAAACTTCTGAGCCTCTAGGTGGCAAGTATAAGATACAAACTTTACTTCATTGTTCTAAAATAACTTAGCTAGGGTTTCATAGTTATTTATTTAAAAATTTTAGTTATGTCCTTGAAGTCATTTATAAAACTACATAGATGGACTAATACATGCTCCATTCAGAAACTAACAAAAAGAATAACATTTTATTTCATAAATTTATCATAAAAGTGATTCTTGCACTTGCTTGGAAACAAGATGATCATATTAATTCTGAGCTCCTTAATAAAAATATGGGCAGTTTATAGAATTATATAGCTCCTGGACCAGATAATATTTCCTCAAGGATTTTGAAGGAGATGAAGGATTGGATAAATGAGCCACTTGCTACTGTTTTTTGAATAGTGGCAGGTGCCAGAAGATTGGAAGTTAGCTATTTAAATGATATACCTCTTTTCAATAAACATTGTCCCAGTAATTATAAACTTATTAGTCTTACATCAGTTTTTGAAAGTTTGGTAGAAAATGCTTTGCAAAGTCATTGAACAAAGTTTAGAATTTTATTAGATAGTCAGTATAGTTTTGCCAGGGGAAATCTTGCCTTACTAATGCTTTAATATTCTTTGAAATCATTTCTGCTTATGAAGATGAGGATAAGGGTGTGGTGTATTTGGATTTTCAGAAAGCATTTGACAAGGTGCTACATAAAAGGCTTGTTAAAAAATTATCTGTACATGTGGGGGATAGGTTGGCTCATTGGACAGAAAACTGGCTAAATGGAAGAATGCAGAGGGTTGTCTGGAATGGAGTTCAGTCAACTGGATTAATGTCACAAGTGGCATACCCCAGGACTCATTCTTAGGACCTTTACTCTTTTCAATTTACATCAATGACATAGATGAAGGAATAGTCAATAAATTGTTTAAATTTGCTGATGACATTAAAGTTTTTGGTGTTGATGGCTGTGAAGAGGGTACTGATACATTACAAAAGGATTTACATTATTTGGTGAGTTGGGTAAATAAATGGCTGTCGGCTTTAAATTGTTATAAATGCAAGGTAATGCTTGTGAGATTATAAGTATAATTTGATGGGAATAACCTTAACAATGTTATGAAAGAAAAGGATATTTGTGTTCTTGTTGATCAGTCTCTTAACCCGATGACCACCAGCTACTGGCTTTCTGAGTAGCAAACAAAAATATTGTTATATTTCATTCCAACAATAAAACTAGTGGATGAAACTATTTGAAACTTCATAAGAACTTTCCAAAATGCACGTAGTTTAAGAAACATGAAGCTGTTACTTTTGATAAATTTAGTTTTTTTGCTTTATGATCTTTAATATCATGGAAAGTTACTACAAAATAAAGATTGTAAGAAGGAAAAATATAAATTTCCTATGTGGTACTGGTACTAGTAGTACGTACAAATCATACAAGTTTATCATTCTAAATACTGAATCATATTATTATTATGAACTAAAATTAAAATTACACTAAACTATTAAACTTAAAACTAATAAGTTAAATGCAAAAGAATATACAAAATCACAAACTCTTTCAGTTCAAAGTGCTAAGCCCAATTCATGTAAAGACCTTGCACTCACCACTCGATAGCTCTTAACCCTAACAAACGTGGATCAACTTCTTTCCTAAAAAATATATCTGTTTTGAGCTAATTTTTCAATATAATGATTAATAGAAATACGATACAGCATGACTTAAGTTACTATAGAAAAATAGTAAAAGTCACATTCATCCCATACAGTTTTTTCCAGAAGCAAGTTTTCTAAGGCTTATAAAAAAAAAGTACTATTGACCAATACTAAATACAACCTCTACATAAAATGGCAGTTACTATAATAAGCACCACCCAGATTCATATTGTAAAATCCAGAGAACAATGTTTTGTCACATGCTTTGCTTATCATCCTTATCAACCATATGCTGGTTGTGAAACAGACCAAACACATTTGTCTCAATAATACAGGGAAACTATGACATTCTCACAGATGGGGTCTCAATACACAGAAGAGCTTAAGTTTTGAATTCCAACATAACTCTTGTCTATAATGAGAAGAATGTGACCAGGACTAATCTTTTATGTTCTGTAAAGTAATTTTCTTTGTAATTTATGGTGTCTGTATTGTTTGTTAATCTCTTGTAACAGGATGTATCATGTAACTAGGGTCAG